AGGGGAGGGGAGGTAGCATGGCGGCGAGGAGAGGCGAGGGAGGAGGCGGAGGAGGCGGCAGGCGGAGGCGGCGGCGGTCGGATGGAGGACGAGGCGAGACGGCGCCGGCGGGGAGGCGGAGGGGCGGAGGATGGCGGAGGAGGAGGCGGAGGAGGAGGAGGAAGAGAGGGCGGGTCTGCGGGCGGCGGGAGGAGGAGGCGGGCGGAGGGAGGAGGAGGAGGAGGAGGAGGAGGTAGGATGGAGGACGAGGAGGAGGCGCAGGAGGAGGAGGAGGAGGAGGAGGAGGAGGAGGCAATCGCCCACCCCTCCCATGAGCTGTGGGTGATTCGGGGTGGGCGTGGGAGGGTCGGGCGGGAACGGCAGGGCTTCCGGGAGGGGGGGGCGATGGCCTCCTGCAGGCCGTGTCGGGGGGGGCGCACGCCCGCCAGCTCAGCTGCCTCGAGACGCCCGCTCTGATACGCAACGCGTGCCGTGCTCGGCACGTGCCGTGTCAGCACGTTGCGTGTCGGCTCAACGCATCGGCGTCAGCCTTTCGACGGCGGCGGCGGCGCGTGAGTGCGGGGCAGCCTGTCGACGTGCGGCGCGCGGCTTTGCGGCGTGCGGCGCGCGGCGGCGCGTGGGTCGAAAGTGCGGCACACGCTGCGCATTGGCCCACGCTTCGGCGAACGCATCGGGCCATACCCGCGTGTTGCGTATCGGGGCAGCTTGGTGGCGGTAATATGCGGACTTCCCGGCTGCCCGGAAGGTCCCACCAACGCCAGGATCCAGGACCATCTTCCCCCGGCGGAGCCAGCCCTCGGTGTTGGCGTTGGTGGCCATTTCCAAGCCTCCAAGGGGGTCCTCTTGCGTTGTCTCTTGCCGACCCATCCGTAGTCATTCTGGCTTACCCAGTTCAGGGAGTCTGCTGCGCCATGCCAGACGAATATTATTACATTGTGCTCTAGTACGACATGGCAGGGACAAGTTCGTGGTATTATCTGGGCACTCAGTCGCAGGAGTTCGGTCCTTTCTGCAGCGAGCAGATGCGAGCATGGTGGGACCAAGGACAGTTCTCTGTTGGCGAATGGTTGCTCGTACGGCTTCCTGAGTGGAAAGAGCACAGACGCATTTGCGACGTCTACCCTGCTGGCAGGTCGGCATACTTCATAATGCCGCCTGTCTGCGATGCTGGTCCTCAGCACCACGAACTCGTACCTTACGTGGCACCGCCGTGTGTGCCACAATATGCTGGCGCACCGCCGCCGACGTACCCAGGGTACGCGCACCCAGCCCATGCGTGTGGACCGATTCTATCGCATCCTGGCTACGCGTACCCACCGCCAGCATACGGGCACCACCCTGCACATCCGCCCCCACCACACGCATACCCGCCGAACATGCATCATTTCCCACCTGGTCCGCCACCGTGGCACCCACCTCCGGGACCTGGTTTCAACTATAGCAGCAGAGGCCGGTCGAGATCGAGATCGAGATCCAGGTCACCCAGATATGGAGGCAACAAGGGACGGGAGCCCAGGCGTGGAGTCCGTGATGTCGTGGAGACCCCCGAACAAGTGCTAGAAAGTACTGGCCGTGAGGCTGCCCGCAGCTTGTTGACAGATGCTCTGACTTCGTTGTATGAGGATCGCATAAAGCCGAGTACGTTGTCTGTGAAGGGTCGGTTAAAAGAGCGCGGCACCCAGGATAGTATATTGCGATGCTTCGTAGAAATTTACAGATTACTCCCAGATTCGTTCTCTGTTACACCATCGGCTGCAGGTGGTAATCAGGCTGATGAATGCTCGATCGAATTCGTAAAACCCCCTGAGGGTTTTAAAGGTTGGATAGATATTGATGCTCCGGACGATCCCTACGACGAAGCCTTGTGGAAAGACTTCGCGGAGTATTTAAAGACGGGTTGCGAGTTTGCTGGCGGCAGATATGGCATGGCACGGGAGCTCCATAAGCGGAGTTTGCCTTTCTTGAGCAAGTTCTCACTGGGCGAAGTTTGCCACATGGTCCAACTGGCAATCGCGAAGCGAAAGCTGGTGATATACCACAAAAAAGTGTTGCGGACACCAGACCAGGCTTTCAAAGATGCAGATGGGCTTGGTGCGAGGAAAGGCTCCACAACCAACGGCGATGCGAAGCCCGTCACAGATCTGCGCCAGCTTGGTGTTCTGCTCAGCAGAATGTGCATCCGGCGGAAAAACACCGGCCTGCGCCTCGAGCAGTTGCGCAAGACGATTCAGGAAGAGCACGGGTTCAGGATAAACGAGATGGATTTCCAGTGCACCAAGCTCAGTGAGCTGTTCAAGCGAGACCCTCTCAGCGTTTTGTTCGAGATCCAATCCGATGGAGGTGCGATGCGGGTCTTTTCGCGGACGCTGGATGCTGCACCTCAGTCTGCCCGCGACATCCATGCCGAGGCGGCAGAACTTGAAGCGTCACGGCCGAGGAGATCGCGGTCACGATCACGGTCGCCGTCGGGGAAGCCCCGCTGATCCGCCTGAAGAAATAATGTGCCCGATGAGGATTATAAGCCGAGCGCACGCGCGCCTCCGCCGCCAGTATGAAAATAAACGACCTCGTCGAGCCTCGAGAGCGCCTCGCGCGGCGTTTCCAGCCGGGCCGGCCCTGGCGAGCCCCGCGGGACGTCGGCCGATGGAGCGCCGGTGTGAAGGGGCCCCAGGACACAAATAAATATACACAAATAACATAAATCCCAATCTTTTCGCATATTTTCTGGGCTTTTGCCTTCCCGCCCAATTCCCATATTTTCCCATATTTTCTGGGGGATCGACGATTAATTGTGTCTGTGTGTTTTTTTCCCTCCTGACAGTGGGGGGGCTCGAGAGAGGCAGAATGCATCGTCGGGCGGGGCCGGGCTCGCTCGCCCGCTCGTGCCGCAGGCGGTGGCGGCCCATGGGCGTGCACACCGGCAGATCAGTTGTGCAAACGTGCACGGCGCACTCTTTGGCGCCATGTCGGGGGCGGAAAAGAGGGGGGTGATGACTAGGGGGGGGGAATATCATGGCGCGGGCCATATATTTCCCCAGATTTCGTGGCGCCTCTTCTTGTTTTATTACGTCCCAGGCCCCCCCGCTGGGCCGCGCACATGCCGCCGGTCATGATTTGCGCCCCCCCCTCTTAGACACCCCCCTCTTTGCCGCTCCCGACCATGTGGAGGCGTCACTCACTGCACCTTGAAGTCGGAAGCTGTCCCCGGCCAGGTGGACTGCGTCGGGCAGTACACTTCGAACCCGGACGGGGCTGGGACGAGGATAAGTCCGTTCCAGAGCGTTCCGGAACACTCTGAGAAGGCCGCGGCGCCCGAGACATCCTCCAGAGCCGCCAGATCTCAGAGATGCCCGATTCATCTTCGTCCGATGTGATTCTTGGTCCTGGCTTCGTTTCGTATCGTCGCCGTGAGGGAGTGGGCTCCTGGGGTACACTCGGCGGCCTGCGAGGGGGAAAAGTGAGAAGGGGCAGGTCTGCTCAGAAGGCTCGGAAGCCCCCCCCGGCCTTCTGAGAAGTGCTCTGGGCCTCCCCCGAAGACGCAGCATCTTTCTCAGGAGGCGCGAGTGGTAAGGCATTGGTTTTGCTGTAGCGAACCCTTTGTGTAGTGGGGGGATCCTTGCTCACCCCCGCGGGGTAGTCGACTACTCCGCGCGCGTGAGCACGGAGTAGTCGACTACCCCGCGCTCACGAGCACGGAGTAGTCGACTGCCCCTCCGCGGGACTTCTCGGAAGCCCTCGCGCCGCGCGAGGGCTTCCGAGAAGTCCCGCCGCCTTCGGAAAAGGCCTCCTCCTCCTCGTTTCCCCCCGCGCCCGCCGCCGGGAGACGAGCCCCCGACACCGGGCGTCGGGTGCTTTCTCCGCAGGACCGGCGGCTCTTCCTGGGCAGACGGCGACAGGGGGGCTCCTCCATCTCCTCCTCCTCCTCCTCCTCCTCCTCCTCCTCCTCCTCCTCCTCCTCCTCCTCCTTGGTTCCTCCTCCATCCTCACCTTCTTGAAGTACGACTGCTTCCCAGCCTTTACTCCGAGGCGCGGGGGGATCGGGCGCAAGGGGGGCCCAGAGTTCTATGTTTCTCCGCCTCGGGCTTCCTCACCTTCCGCTCTTGGACTTCGTTCGCTTCCCCGTTCTCCGGTGCTGCACCCTCGGTGCCCAGCGAGCTGCGGTCCCGAGGGCTTTCTGGGAAGGTTCGCTTTCCCACCGCTGCATCGGCCAAATCTTGTGGCTCAACAGATGGGGGGGGATACCAGAACAGGGGGAGGCCAGAGGAGGAGGAGGAGGAGGAGGAGGAGGAGGAGGAGGAGGAGGAGGTAGGATGGAGGACGAGGAGGAGGCGAAGGAGGAGGAGGAGGGGGAGGAGGAGGAGGAGGAGGAGGAGGAGGAGGCAATCGCCCACCCCTCCCGTAAGCTCTGGGTGATTCGGTGCAGGCGCGGGAGGCCTGGCGGGGACGGCAGGGCTTCTGGGAGGGGGGAGGCGGGTGCCTTCGGCAGGTTGTGTGGGGGGCGCACGCCCGCCGGAGGACCCGTCCGCTCACCCTGGCCCGTCCCCCTTGGCCCGCTCGTCCCAGGGACCCCGTCCTCTCCTCCTTCCCTCCTCTCTTCCTCCTCCTCCTCCTCTCCTCCCCTCCTCCTCTCCTCCTCCTCCTCTCCTCCTCTCCTCCTGCCGAGTCTCTGTCTCATCTGCGGGGGAGTGCCAGGGACCCTCGCCCACCGTCTTTTTCAGTGCCCAGCGTGCCAAGGTTGGAGGCGAGACGCCCTGCCCGCAGTGTTGGTCGACCCTGTGCGGAGGCGTGCCACGTGCACGACTGAGCTGCTCCGAGGCGTCTTCTGGCCGGTAGGGGGCCCCAGTCCGACGTCTGCTGGGGCCTGCCGTTCCCGCCCGCTCGTTTGTTCCCTGCCTGTTGCCAGGGGTTCCGAGGAAGCTGATCTTGAAGTGTTTGTGTCGGATCCCGTGTCCTGAGGTGGGTCGGGGGTCCGCTTTGAAACGTTTTTTGTTTCGGGCCCCGAGGTGTAGGCAAGGTCTTGGCCTCGAGGCGGGTCCTGCGTTAAGTCGGCGAGTGTGGTTGGCCAAGCTGAGTTCACCCCTTACAAACCAGAGGAACCAGAAGGGGAGGAGGAGGGAGGATGAAGGAGGAGAAAGAGGAGGAATGATTTGCGGTGGGTGGAGGAGGGATGTGGGAGGAGGGAGGGGGAGGATGAGGAGGGAGGCGAAGGAGGAGGAGGAGGAGGAGGAGGAGGAGGGAGGAGGAGAAGGAGGGGAGGAGGAGGAGGAGGAGGAGGAAGAGGAGGAGGAGGAGGAGGGGAACATGAGGAGGGGAACACGAGGAGGAGGGGGAGGAGGATGAGGAGGAGGAGGAGGAGGAGGAGGAGGGGAGGAGGAGGAGGAGGAGGAGGAGGAGGAGGAGGAGGAGGAGGAGGAGGGAGGAGGGAGGAGGGAGGAGGGAGGAGGGAGGAGGGAGGACGAGAAGGAGCCCCGCAGCGCCCCCAGGTGGGCCCCAAACGCGTTCCAGCATGCTCGCGGGAGCCTCCCCCCTCAAAGCTGCCCCCAAGCCTGAGCCTACTGGTTCGGGCAAGGGCTCCGAGCCGCCGTGGTCGTCGGCCGAGGTGCAGAAGCTCTCGGCCCAGGTCAAGCAGCTGCAAGAGCAGCTCAAGCAGGCCCGCAAGCCGCCGGACACCGTCATCATCGACGCGGACGGCGAGGGGGCGCCCGACTTGCGGGCCACTCGGGTCCGCCTCGCCGAGGTCGAGAAGGAACTGGCTGCCGCCAGGAGCTTCTCGGGGGCCGCGTGGGAGAGCCTGGCCAAACAGCTGGCGACTGAGCAATCGCAGCTGCAACAGGAGCTGCTGGCGGCCAGGCCTCAGAGCCAGCAGATGCGCATCCTCCTTCGCCAGATTGAGGGGGCCGAGCGAGGCCTTCAGAAAAGCCGCGATTCTCTCGAAGCCTCGCAGCGGAAGGTCGTGGAGATGCAGGCGGCCATCCAGAAGGAGAAGGCTGCCATCGTGCAGCAGGAGGCCGAGTTGGCGGACTTCCGGCGTCAGCAGGTGCTGCTGGTGGCCGCGTCGCCGCAGCCCGCGTCAATGGATGAGTGCCCGACGCCTCCCCAGGCAGTCCCCGTCCTTCAGCTTGACACGGACAAGCTTGCGGCGGTGCTTGACGGGCTCGGCGTCCAGGTGCCTGACCAGACATCCATGGTGCAGAGTCTGGCGCAGCAGCTGCCCCAGTGCACGGCCCAGCGGATGGTGCAGCTGGTGCCCAGCAGCGCCCCTGGGGGCGGTGGCGGAGGGGCAGGCTCGGCGGCTGCCGGCCCGCCGCCAGTCCCTGCTGCCCCGGCCATCTGGTCTGACGTCGGCGAGATGCGGCAGCGGCTCGCCGAGGCTGGGGTCCAGGTCCCCGAGTCCGACGAGGGCGTGCAGCTGGCCTTTGAGAGGTTCAGGGCCGCTGCGGTTACGACCATGTCCAAGGGAGCTGGTAAGGGGCCTGCGGGTGCCGCTCCTTTCTAGCTTGATGCGCCTCGTCGTCATGATGGCTACGGTCTTTCCGATTCTCGGCAGCAGCCCAGCGGCTGCGAGCACCTTCCCAGCAGTTGACGGTGCACCAGATCAGATGGCGCGCAGTCTGATGGGCTCTGCCGCGTCGTCGCCGTTTGTCTACTTCGTGCGCCGCTCCGACCTGCAGGTGGTCGGGCTCGATCGGAGCCCCGATGTCAGCTGGGTGTGGCTGCACGGCTCCTGGTGCTCGGCGGCGGCTTGCCCGGCAGCCCCGCCGGAAGCGGCCCGCCGGGCGGCCTTGGCAGTGCTGCCCGGCGGCTCTGGCGGCCTCCCCAGCGAGCCGGAGCGCCCTCGGGAGCCGCCGTCGTCCTCAGTTTTAACCCTCACTTTTTCTGCAGGCGCCCCCGGAGGCGGCGCTGCGGCCGGTGACCTTCTCGGCGCTGCCGAGGGGCCTCCAGGGTCACCGAGAGCCGGCGTGCTGCCGGGCGCTGGGCCTGGGCCCGGGCGCGCAGAGGCGCCCGCCAGGGCGCGGGCTGTGTCTGCGGCGGCGCCTGCGGCCCCCGGAGCGGTGGCGGTCGAGGCGTCGGTCCCCGCTCCCCCATCGCAGCTGGATGGAAGCGCCGCTTCGGCGGCCCCGTTGCTGCTGGAGCTGGACTCGTTGGTGCCAGCTACTCGGCCCCTGTCGTTGGACGCCCTGACCGTCGGCACAGTCAATGGCGACACTTGGGCGGGGGCCAGGGCGGTGGGGGAATGGCTGCAGGCCAGAGGGAGGCGGCCCGACATCCTGTTCGTCCAGGAGACCAGGTTTTTCGACGCGGAGGCCGTCGGCTCCGCTCACCAATGGTGCGCCAGGCAGGGTATGCAGCTCGCCCAGGGGCCTGTTCAGCGCACTGGGGCTGGCCGCATGGCGGTCTCAGGCGGAGTCGGCATTGCGGTGGCCAATTCAATCGCATTGGGCCAAGCCGTTGCGATTGACGACGTCTGGGCCCATCGGGTGATTGTGAGGCGAGCGCACC